TCTTCAGCGGTTCTTTGGAGTCGATGAGGTGCTATATAGCACCACTACCGTAAAACCTGTAAGCCCCTGTATAGTTCTTTAAAGGTTCTTTGACTCTCTCTTAGTCTAGTTGGGGAAAGGGTTAAAACAACATTAAAATACAGTCTATTTCTTGAAGATATAGTTTTTTTTTGCCCCCAAGGCCCCCGTAAGGAAATATTCCAGGGCCCCCACATGAGACCTTTGACCTCAGAAAAAAAGGACCTATCCACAAACAGCAATACCAACTTCACACATTACTAACCAGTTAGACTTTATTTCTGGAGTATCTAAAACAGAAGTTCTTTATTGAGAATTAAGGTTTAGATGTTTTTTTTTTTAAACTTACCGTTTTGGTGAATAGTGCTTGCTTTAGTTGCCTCTTGACCCTTGACTTTAATTTTAAGTTAAAATAAGTTTCTCTTTGGCTGTTACAATAGTGTTTATAAAGCACATATGTGATGGCAAGGAACTTATGGTGAAATCATGTCATGCATCTGAGTCTCTGGTTGCATTTTATCAAAATCTGTAGTTCTTTTATGAGTTTTATATTAATGCAGTTCTACGATACTACATGACAATGTGAGAAAATTATATAAACCACTTTTAGAATTATGGGTTATAAAGAGGTTTCAAATCTGTCACTCATAGACATGAAGAATCAGCATGTGAATCTCAGCAATGGTGACAAAATATTCTGATAATTTTGAGAAGTGGTTCCCCTATGATTACAAGCCAAAGAACCGCTTTTAGTGCTATATAGCACCATTTTTTTTTAGAGTGTAGGCTACAGCATTTCACTTGGATGCGGCGCGAACAGAAGAAATGGCACGATTGTTTCAGCAAATAGCCTACAGTTTATCTCGCGTTTGCTTTTTTAAAACTATCGCTTAAGTTTAGGGTAGGATTAATTGGTAAGTTATTTTCAAGCACGATAGAACATTAAACTTTGAACGCCACTCCGTATATTTCATTTCTGAACTAGCCTACCTCGATACTACAACTAATGCAATGAAACGTCGTCAGATTCACGTTCACCTGTTTCAGATAAAAGTGATCAGGCTTTTAGCGCCACTCACTGGACATTTCACTTTTTTCTACAAAAAAAAACTAAAAAACAAAACTGGTTATTAAAGGGGTCATATGATGCTTTTTTAAAGTTCATTATTTTGTGTATTTGGTGTAACAGAATATGTTGACATGCTTTAATGTTCAAAAAACACATTATTTTTC